GAGACGGCGGAATTCATGGCTGAGAACGCCGTGTGGCTGACGCCTACGCTGGTCACGTACGACGCCATGGGCTCCGACAAGTACAAGGGATTCCTGCCCCCTGAGAACCAGCGCAAGAACCAGGAGGTCTTGAGAAGAGGTCTCGAGTCGTTGAAAATTGCCGCCGCAGCGGGCGTGACCATCTGTCATGGATCGGATCTGCTCGGCCCCCTACAGGCTGAGCAGAGCAGGGAGTTTGGGATCCGGCAGCAGGCTCTCAGCAATAAGCAGGTGCTTCAATCCGCCACGGTTAACGCCGCCAGGATGCTTCGACAGGAGGATGTGCTGGGGCAGGTGAAGGAGAAGTTCGTGGCGGACTTGCTAATTGTCAACGGGAACCCGCTGGACGACGTCTCAATACTGGATGAGCCGGAGAAGAACGTCTTGGCGGTGATCAAGGATGGCAGGGTCTACACGAGCCGATGGAGCAAGCTTCCAGAAGACGTCAAGGAGCCACCGCGACTGATTGAATGAGCGCATGCAGCAAGCTTTATCAGGCAAAACCGAACATCGAGGCTTGGATGATCTACAATGTTCATATACTAATCTATATCTGGAACACTACTGCTTCTGCTATACGTGACCTTGCTGGGCATAGTTGGTGCTGAATCACTCTGCTCGGCCTCCCGAAGGTGCTGCTGCGACAAATTGTCCACGAGGACGAATCCGTCACTTTGGCGTTCGCTCCGCCGATTTGAGAGACCATCGGACTTGCCATTCGAGCTGTAGTAGTTTGCCGTACCCTTGGTAGAGTACGAGGAACGGCCCAGCAGAGGTCGGAGGAAGGGGATACACGCAAGGGTGATGCCGACGCCGGGCTCCAACGCGCTGAAGATGAGAGCGTTGGGGATATTGAAGGTTACGTCGAGGTACACGAGGTTGGCAAGGTAGTAGAGGCGCAGAGCCGATACGATGCACGTACTATATTTGTCACATGGTCAGTATATCATCTTCTTCAGATTAGGGAGGCTTGGCTTACAAGACTCCGAGCGAGAAGGCGACGATCAGGGCGACCTTCTTGTACATCTCCAACCGAAGACTCCACAAGTGAGAAATCGGCATGACGAGGACGATGATGTCGGTGATCATGTTCAACACCCCCATCGTGCCATCCGCTGCAGGCTGGTTCCCGCAGTGTCGGTTCTTGAGATCGAGGAGCCAGTTGTCCGAGAGGGGGATGCAGATGAAGAAGGCGATCAGCACCGTGACCATGACCCACATCATGGTGAAGGCGGCCAGTATCCGCGCCGACAAGATCATGAACCTGGTGCTGAAGAGCTTGGAGTAGAGGAGAAGAATGGAGATCTTGCAGAGGCTGAGGCTGATGGCCCACAGGATCTGTTGCGCGACGAGGACCTAGAGGGAGATGCGTCAACAACTACATCGGGGTTCTTCGACGCGAGAGTTGGCACGAACCTTGAGAAACTTGACGATTGGCCCGACCCCATACCTGGGTATGATGACGGCATTGTGAAGGCCAACACCGCATTGCATCACAGCGACTATGGAAATTGCTTGCAAGGCATTGGAGAAGACCTGTCAGAGAAAAGTGAGTTGTAGTCCTCATCTCATCGCGCCGGAAGATATCTCCATGGCTGGCGTGATGGACAACGTACGAGTCCAGCAATTATAGACCAATCACTCAAATCCATATCTCTATGCGCCATGCGCCTGGCGATGAGGCGGAGGATCACCATCAACGTCGGAATGATGATGAAGACGATAGACACCGCAACCACAGAGATCTGGCCCGGTTCCTCCAGCGGGAATATCACCAACTTGTCTCCCATCGTCGGCGTCTTTGGTGGTGATGCCGCCATATTGTCGTCCCGTGAGGTTGCGATGGGGAGGAGACCTTGACCTTGTCGTCCACACTACGAGTGGATTATGCGGGAAGCGGAGGTGGGACGAACATTCAAAGGTCCAAGCATCCAATCCATGAGAGCAAGATGCTTCATTTTTGAACCCCTCGAGGTCTGTCCCTCCACCCCAGTTCCCAACGGCCCGACGACTGGAACCCAGAACCCAGACCACAGACCTTTTTCTGCTCGTTTCTTTTTGGGGCGGGCCACATCAGGTCACCCAATAGCCCCCCAAGTGGTGGTTTTGTTTGCTTTTTCCTTTCCCACTGTGGGCACCAGAATGGCAAGCTGCATACCTTATCGACCGCAGTGCAGACGCTGTGCAGTTGTGACAGGGGGTCTGGACAGCCCACAGTACCTAGAAGAGGAAAGGATAGAAATACTGGTGCGGCCACCTTTGCTGCCACGCGATCAGAGGTCGAGGGTAACAGCAGAAATGCCTAGACTTTTTCTTCCACTTCGTGAGAAACAGGCACTGCCAAGGACAGTAGGCTAACAAATGGGCTGGAGGTGTGATGACTGCGTTGCGTCGTGCTTTAGTGGTATGAAAAAGTGGATGCCTACAATCGAAATGACGCAAATGGGCAATGATCGAATTGTGAATATGATAGAAACCATGGGGGAAAACCTGACCTCTGCGCTTTTGCTCGCGATTCATCGGCAACGGCAGATGCTCTCAATGAATACCTCGTTTGGGATGTAGGGCATGGAAGCGTTTCCGATGACTTGTCTGAATTCGAAGATTATCCTCAGGACAATGCCCTCATCTCATGGAACTGGCCATGGCTCCCGCAAAGTCCAAGGATCCTCGTGTCAGCCTGCCTAAAGAAGCCTGTTGTGTTACGGTAATCCGAGATCTCTACCCCGGTGCCTCAAGAGCACAGATACAGATCGCGGTCATTTCTACACGTACCGGGTTCGCGAAGAGATCCAGGCCGATTCCATCATAAAGGCATGGGTCGACGAACGAACCAGACGTGGCGTCGGGCGGAAGCAACCCCCCCTCGACGGCAGATGGCCAGCCCTTTGACCACGGACGCAGGGAAGAAAGAGACATGGATCCCCTCTCGCTAACCGAGAATCCTTCTTTTCTTTTTTCCTCTTTCGCTGCCTTTGATCACACATACTTTCCCCGTTTTCCCGTTCCTGCATGGGGGGGTTTTGGTGGTTTCCACACCAATCACAAACGCAGCTTTTCCATCTTCGCTTCAGACTGTGCATATCTAGTTTGCTCTAGGTCGATGCTGTCATCAGCCCGTCCTTGCCCGTTTGATAAAAGATGGCTTTTTCGAGGTTACCTCCCACCTGCTTACCCCGACCTAGCTGACTCTTCCTGGCCGGCCCCTCTTCGCGAAAATCTCGTTACGACTTCAACAACGTGGGATACGGGTGGGAACGCGTGGAATAGCTTCCCTCTACTGCACGACACCATCCATCGACAGTTTGACACCCTTGTCCCCCGTTGAACCGCGTGTGGCACACCACCATCATCTGTCCGAAAAGGGCTCGTCGTCCGAGAGCCACCGTGCCATCTAGCCACCCAGTCAACTCAATTCTGACGTCTCACTCGGGAGGCATGTCTGGCATTCTTAGGGTCTCACTACGGAAGCGGGAGCAGCAGCATTAGCTCCTACGAGAAAGAGATTTCTCCCCCTCCCCCCTCCCTTACCGTCACAAGCCACTGCCCATCAGTTAAACCTTTTCAGAAGCGCGCGGCATGACGGCTAAGCTAGGAAATGCGAGGACGGGACGGGAGGCAGAAGCCGGCAGCCGCCTCAAGTCCGTTATCAAGGGAAGAGATATGAGGGAGTATTATTGCGGCTATGACAAGCTTTTGCTTTCGAAATGCCCAACCTGTTATTGTGCATTCGCTGAGAAACATTTCCGGCTTTCCCGTCATGCCGCGGTGAAGGTGTTAGTCATGTGGCTGGGTGGTACGCCGCGCAACCATCAGGACGCGCTTGATCGTCCGCTTCAGTCTTTCCAGTTGACAGGCACGGTAAGTTGAAAAGACTTTATGACTTTCACATTATCAATTCTGGAAAACTTTCAATAATAAGGCCTGGGCGACTGTAGTATGATCACTCCACTAACTAGTCGAGCATCACTCGATTCACCGCAAAGAGACCAAGCTCAAGCGCGGCACTTATGATAACCTCGCTGAGTGAAATGTCGCCGAAACGATTCTACTTCGTGCTGGGACCATTCGCCATGGGAAAGAAACTCGGTGTGACATATGCGGCTCAAGATGAAAGGGCTGGAAGGGCCGTGAGTCTCGGGTAGAAAATATGATCAATCATGGACAAACGAGTCAGCGGCTTGCCCTGGCTCAAACGACGAGATCCAATCGGAAGATGCCTCTCGACGCCTCAAAGAGCTAGCACGGTGCCTGGCAGATGTTGTCAAAGTCTCAGTTTTGTGAAACCATAGCTTTGGATAGGTTGCATAAGCTGCTCTGTCCTGCAGTAGTCAGTGCAGCTAAGCTCAAGTCTATGGAACTCCAAACGTAAGCGAGCAAGGAAAAGCCTCATCGTGACTAAGTGAGTGGTGATCGGAATTGATGAGAGTGAACAGTTTACAAGCTGCATCACCTGGAAGACGAACGACGGTACGACTCGAGTGGGAAAGACGATTTCCACCTTTGAAAGCTAATTTGATGCTTCAGCCACGCAGCTCTACAACGCAAGGGGGGTTTGCTTGGAAATTTCGACGGAGACCAATGGAATTGGAGCCAAAATTCGTTCGAATGACTTGATTAGGGCAATAATTGACACAGGTAAGCTTGAAGGTATTTGGCAGCTGCGTCTTCCGCGTGGAAACCTAACGCGGAGTTTGGAAGAATCTAACTATGTGATCAATGATGCAGGCCAGCTTATGTTAATCAAGGCTTGTTACATAAAGTTCAACTGTTCCAAGCATAGGCCAAGCGGGAGTTGATGCTAACGGGATGGAGATCGTATCGGCCAACTCATATCTATTACTAGATGCAATGCTCCTCGCTTTCACGCCGTCTTGAAGTAGAAAAAGTGGACACGGAATCACTGATTAGGTTCGCATAGCTCTGATCCCTCCGTAACCTGTAACAATGTGCCTCTTCCGCTATTTCTTCATGTTCTTCTCGACTTGCTCGTATGATTCGCTAATAACCGGTTTCAGTAACTGGGGGAGGACAACTGCTGCATCTCCTACAAACACCCAGTCCTTATCCGGCCGAACATGTCTCGCGTCTTCAGCTCGCGTGTTGATAACAGCAATTCTCGCACCCTTCTTGCGAGCCATCTCGGCATACCCAGCCGCCGGCCAGACCTTGCTGGTGGTTCCAATCGTAAGAAACAAATCGATGGCCTCGGGGTCATCGAAAAGCGCCTGGGCCTCTTCAACAACCTCAACGGGCAATGGCTCGCCAAACCAGACGACGGCGGGACGGAGGATGTTGTTCTTGCACTTAGGGCATTGCGGTAGGTCCTTTTTCTCCAACCCCGATGACAGCCGGATAGCAGCAACGGGGTTCGATGGCGCCGGTTGATCCGGGGCTTTCAGAGCAGTCAGATCTCGCGTGGTCGGAGAATTGCCCTCATACTTCTCCCCGAGGATTTGCGCGTGTTTCCGCGCGATGCCGGCTAAAAGTACTGGGCTGGCGCGAGGCTTCTTGTCCGGATTTATGCTGCCGATGGTCCTCTCCTCGTCCTTTGAAGGATCGAGTGCTGGTGACAGAGACTCCTCAAAGTTGTCACGCTCGGTGTGTCCGCATCCAACCACGTCGACGCAGGACAGCGCAAAAAGATTGCCGTGGAGCTCCTTCAGCTGACTGGGCGAATGACCAGCCCGACGGCTCAAGTTATCGACATTTTGCGTCAACGCGACGAAGCCAGGCACTCTGCGCGCGAGCTCAGCCAGAGCATAGTGAGCGGGGTTCGGCTTGGCACGAAGGGCGTCGTGCCTGCGATACGTGTAAAATTGCCAGACGAGACCCGGGTCATGACGGAAGCCTGCGGGTGAAGCGACCTGTGTTATGTCCTGGTTCCTCCACAGACCATTGGCCCCTCGGAAGGTGGCAAGGCCTGAGGATACGGAAAGACCTGCGCCGATGAGAGCAACGATGCGCTTTGACTTCTTGAGTGTGTCGTGGAAGTCAGCGACCGCGATAGGGTCTAGGTCGGGCTGAGTTGTAGTTAAGTCAGCCATCGAATCTTGGCGTAGAGATGATACAGGTGTGGTCGGGTTGTAGTATGATAGCTCGTTGTTTCGAAAAGTCAACAGAAAGATTGGCTTCTTCAAATATCTCTCCGAGTTTGCGTTGGTTACCTAAAGAAAATGCGGCAAGGCAATATAATCTGACACGTCTTCTTGGACCCCAAAACCAATACGGCGAAGCAACCAACAAAGAAACAACAAGTAACTTCAGTCCAATTTCGGAAATTTCCATGGCCGTTAGACAGAACATTCAAGGGGCCATGAACCAACACTGAACTGATGTGAGCTTGGTGCGTCTCAAGATGCAAGGGGCCGCTGCCTGAGCAACATAATTTTGGCGAAAATGTCGAGACTCTATTGGTTGATGACAGCCATCGTAAGCTGCTTCAAACACCCAAAATCAACGACGGATTCTATGACGCCGGGCTTGATTCTCGAGCCAGTTCTACTGCCTTTTGCGCTGCTTTCCCAAAATCTGCTTCGGTATGCAATCCAAGATCGGCTTCTTCCAGCTGTGTGTTCCAGTCAGCACACTCAATGTCAAGATAGCATTTGACCGGTATGGGAACATCTTACGATTTTCAATCCCATCTCAGAATTGGTGCCTTGAAGTCGAACCACCATGGGAATCTTCAGCGGTCCCAGCTCTTTGGCTGCACCAAGAATGGATTCTGCGATCATGTCGCCTCTAGTGATTCCTGCCAAAAGTTTATTAGCCCGAGAAGTGGACGTCAAGCTTCCTTCATTAGCTGTTTGGCGAACTTACCACCATAGATGTTGACAAATATTGTCTTCACCCTCCGGTCCCGCAGGATAATCTCAAATGCCTTGACCATGGTCTCCTTCGTCGCTTGCCCACCAGCATCAAGAAAGTTGGCACTGGCGCCACCGTGCAGGGCAATCGCATCGTTGGTCGCCATCGCAAGACCTGCTCCATTGACCACATTGCCAATGTCGCCGTCCATGCGAACATAGACCAGCCCATACTTCTCAGCCTCGACTTCTTCTGGAATCTCGTGCTCCGTGTCTCGCTCTGCAAAAAGTGGCTTCTGCCGCTTGGCCGCAGCATCATCAAATGAGAACTTGGCGTCCATGCAAGTCAGACCTCCTTCTGACGAGCTTGCTAGAGTCTTGATCTCAAGCGAATAGGCGTCCTTTGTTGTGAAAATCTTATAAAGTCTGCCGAGTATGTCATTGAGGTCTTCCTTCTCTTTCGCCGAAGCTCCGAGACAGTTCGAGACTTTGTCGGTGAGTTTGGATGTGATGCCATCCGTGAATCCAAATCGAAATGTATGCAGCTCGTCTGGATGCTGGGCTGCTATCTTTTCGATGGCGACTCCGCCAAATTTTGACGCGATGATTATTGGACAATAGTTCTCGCGATCGAATGTGATCGCCAAGTACCACTTTCTTTCGGGATTCAGGCTTTCCGTAACATGAAGCTTATTGACCAATACACCGTTACCTACGGATTTATCCGTCTTCAAGTAGTGACCAAGCATGCGATTGGCAGCTTTCTCGGCGCTTTCTGCATTATTGACCAGTTGAATGCCGGCCCCTGACCCGTTGTCAAACGCGCCGTCATCGATGCCGCCCCTTAATATCTGTGATTTGAGAGAACAGTTTCCGCCTAAGTGTGTCAGTACATCTTAAATCGGCAGTCTAGAAGAAAACATGATTACCAAGCTCTGTGGCAATCACCGCAGCTTCGGCTGGTGTTCTTGCGAGGTGTCCTCGGGGTACTGGGATGCCGAACTGATCGAAAAGCATCAGCGACCCTTCCCATCCTAGTCTCTTGTCGCTACAAAAGAGAAAGCCTTACCTCCTTCAAAAGGTTCTGCGACTGATATTCATGTAGCGTGAGCTGTCGAAGTTGTTGCCTCGATACCAACTAAGGAGAAATCAGCGATCTGTGTTATTATTATGCGTGAAGGCGGCGTACCTACATTTGCATTGAGACGCCACAACTTTGCTGTCAGAGTCCGAGTTGCCATGGTATCATGAAAATGCACATGGATGCATCAAGTTCGATATTGAAAGATCATTCACTCAGTTCTGAACTGATCAAGACGGTAGGTAGATGACAACAATTGACTGCTGATATGGGAGGTATGGCCGGCGGCAATCAGGTACGTCATCCAGACAAAGGCAAGCTAGCGATGCTGTGGCTGGCTCTAAGCGAGCAAATAGCCGAAGGTTGAGTGCTGCCGGTTATATCGGCTATATCCCCTTCGCTAATACTACGGATAGGTGAAGCCGATATCCACGCCGATAGTTCATTGCAACTGAACACCTGCAAACCCCAATTCAGACGGCGATGAAAATCTTGCTTACATCACACAAATTGTTCCAACTACCTACTGCACTTAGATCTGTACGCACCGTGCAGCAATAGCATGGTCTCAAATTGATTGTGACTTGACCATTTTCAACGGGACTCACGGGTTAAGATTTGGTCTCTTCGTGATCTCCCTTGCAAGGATGCTGGTTCGGGCCAATCAACCTCCATGATAGTAGCTATGACTGTGGACATAGCGACATAGGTAGTTGGGCGCGGTAAACGCGCTGTATTGACTTTCCAGCCCCCTCTTTTCAACTAGGCAGTTGGGCAGATTTTGACCAGGCAGACTGTCACCTTTTTTTCTGCCTCCGACAAGTCATCAGGATCATGCCGAGTGCCCTCAGTCGACAAGATCAGTACCACATCATCTGAACCTTTTTGAGCGTCTAGAGTCCAAAGTAAAATTGCATGACGCGGATGATGTCCTATCACAAAGTCACGAACGATGAGCCACCACCAGGTGTGACGGGATGGGATCTCTTGTGTGCTTGTAAGAAACGGCGTGGATGGCATAGAAAGCTTACATACGCACAGATCCGGCATGCTGCCATGAACTTGTGCGGCCTCTGCGGCGTGTACAAAACTGTGGTTGAGGCGGTTATTGATGGGCGTCTTCCGGCATTATTCCAGGGAGCACGGAACGAGGGTGAACGAGATCAGATTCTTGACGAACTTGTCGTAGGAAGCATTGGCCTTACAACAGCCAATACGGAGGAGAGCATGGATTTGCTCATCAAAGGAGTCTATGTCCGAGTCTCTCTCTTTATAGACCCCGAAGAACAATCCGTTTTCAGAGTCTCAAGTAATGGGGATGAGGAGGTTGGCTTTCCCAGAGGGACGCAGTTTGGACCGTCAACAGACTCTGATAGGAGCTTTGCGAGGGCGCAACAATGGCTTCGGCAATGTGTGGACCACCATGATTGCGGGAAGGCTCGTGGCTCATTCTATCCACGCAGGCTTCTTGATCTTCGGAGTGACCAAGTTCGACTCGTTGAGACTGTCAAGGCCAGTGATTTTCAGGGGCCATACGTCTGCCTAAGCCACCGTTGGGGCGACGCAAAGTTCTCACGGTTGACAAGCACGACTGAAAACCTACATATGCACATGGAAGGAATCGAATGGGGCGATATTCCAAAGACATTCCGAGATGCCATTGTCATCTGTCGACGTTTAAGTGTGGAGTACCTGTGGATCGATACGTTGTGTATCTTGCAAGACTTCCCCGAAATGTCGGACGAGCAAAAGCGAATAACGGGTGCGGATTTCGCAGCTGAGAACTCGGCCATGGCCCGCATCTATCGGAACTCCTACTTCACCATCTATGCAAGCGTCTCAACAAGTATGGCCAGTGGCATTTTCTCATCCAGGCGTTACGGGAGTCATCAAATCAAGATCGGTGACGCTAATGGCAAGGAGTCGATCCTGCGCATCAGAGAAAGAACGTCACACTTCACACCACCCACAGATCTGGAGACTAGAGGCTGGACATTCCAGGAGTATCTGCTACCTTGCCGAGTTCTAGAATTCGGGCCTTTTGATATCTCTTGGAAGTGCAACCAAATCTATATCTGCGAATGTCTGCACAATACGGGGGCGGCTCACTGGCGCGAGGAGCTAGCTCGACGTACATTGCCGCCTCAGAATGCTGCAGAGGCTGAGGAGTGGTGGGCAGGCATACTTCGGCAGTACACGATGAGGCACCTGGCAAAGGATGAGGATAAATTACCTGCTCTCTCCGGGCTTGCACAACTCTATCACCAACTGACGCACGATACTTACCTGGCGGGCTTATGGCAAGCGTCTCTTCCTCAATGCCTGTTGTGGTTCAACACTGCAAAAGCTGGCACGTATCCGATGAATCTTGGTATAGGTCAAAGAGCTCCAATAGCCCGTGCTCCCTCCTGGTCCTGGGCTTCGCTTGATATCGTTAACGACGCCCAGTGCCGCTTCTGGTGGCCACGAGTATCGCTTTCTACAAATCCTATCATGTACGGAGACGGCGCTTCACCGCGGCCGGTATGCACCGTATACGAAGCTCATTGTCAGCCGATAACGGATGATCCGTTTGGTGAGGTGATGGGGGGCTTCGTTGACCTCGGTGTAATGCTCATTTCGGCGAGGGTCGGCACCAAGCCTCAAGGGAATGACTGCTTTAGCACGGATGGCGATGTGGCTTGGACACTGGATTATGTCGAAGACGGCACAGATGTTCACGTATGTCTAGCTGACTGCAGCTTGGATGATGACAGTCTGCAAATTGGAGACGATGTATTTTGCGCGCCAATCGTGGAAACACTTTCGGAATCAGAATCAGACAGAGGCTGTTTGGTGCTGAAGCGCATGCTAGAAGGATCGGAATTCAGACGCATAGGCTTTGCCGTCTTGCGCAAGCCGAACCCAAGCTGGGATCGGGTGAATGGCCCACTTAGAATGCACAGGGGATGGGGATACAAAGAGCCTGATCTAACGACTCCAGAATATGCCGAGAAGGTTAAGAGTTATGCCCTGCCGTACAACTCAAATGTACTGTGCCGTATTAGAATTATTTGAGTTAGCTGAGAAAGCTGACAGGTTCATGATGACCTCTTAATCGCGGATGTTGTAATGTTTCAAGCCACCTATCTGCACTTGGGAAGACTCTGTGGCCAACATAGTCCAAGTTCATGTTCATTCAAATAGCTCTGCCACCATCGACCTCCAAGTTGACACCAGTGATGAACTTGCTCTCGTCCGAAACCAAGAATACAGAGGCGTCTACCACGTCTTCAATCTCACCCAATCTTTGCAAGGGGACGTTTCCAATGAACTTCTGACGATTTTCCGGTGTGTCCTTCATACCAATGAAGGATTCGAATCTACGCATGTGGATGAGCAATAACCAGATGGCTCGGAGGAATTCAACTTACAGGCCAGTTCCGGTCAAAAGAGGACAGATGGAATTCACGCGAATCTTATGGGCACCGTACTCAGCCGCCAATCCCTTGGTTGCCTGCATTCTGGTTAGCCAAGTGTCGTTTATCTATATCAGTCACTCTCCACTTACGTTGCAGACGGCTCCCTTGGAGGCATTGTACCACACAAGACCTGGCCGGGGGCGCAGAGCTCCAATCGAGGAGATGTTGAGCATCACGCCTCCTTCCCCTTGCTTGATGACTCGCGGCATGAACGCCGCGGTACCGAGGAAGATGCCCTTCACGTTGACATTGAAGACCTTGTCAAACTCGCTCTCTGTTACCTCAGCCGTAGGCTGTGGCAGTGGGAAGTCAGCGTATCATTCCCTACGAGTCATAACCGTTTAGTTTATAGATGTGCGGAAATTCTGACCTTGTTCCTGTAAGTCGTGCCGGCGTTATTCACAAGACAGTCGATTCGGCCGTAGCGCGATTGCGCGGCATCCATCAACTTCTCCCAGTCCTCAGCATTTGTGACGTCTGCTTTGAAGAACGATATCGAATCGGGAGCGCTTTGCGCTACTCTTTGTCCGTCGCTCTCATTGATGTCGGTAATGAGAACTTTAGCTCCTTCTTGGGCGAATTTGTTGGCAATACCCTCGCCGAAGCCATGCCCTCCGCCTAGAAAATGTCAGAAAGCCCAGGATACGACTGGAAGTGAAGGTTGTTCTACCTGTGATGATGACGACCTTTCCAGCTAGTCTCGATCCTGTCTTGGTGTCACTCATGTTGATTGCTTCTTCGCCTCAGACGTCCAGATATTGATACAAATTTTGGTGTAGTTGATCAAGATGGTTTGTTGATATTTGCTAAATACAAATATCTTTTTAATATGTCACAATTATAACCCCTCATTTAAATAACTGTAGAGGTTGTACAGCGCATAGCGTTCATACTGAGACCGCGACAAAGCACATTGCATCATAAGAAGGCGGGGAGGTGCGGGGGCTAGGACGCCGGGCAACGAATTCCGTGTGCCGCCACGGCACGGTCCGGCGAAACCCTTTACGGCTCGGTTATACAACTCATTTTCCGTGGTTTTTCTTTTTCGAATTGAATAGGCGAATGTCAACAACATAAAGAGCGCTCGATAGATGCATGTTGTCTTACTCGGGTCTTTGTTGCCAATGCAGTATGCGACAACACAGCACACCTCCATGTCGAATGGACATCAGCTCGTTACCACAGATGTTGTGAGGTTCAGCAACAAATCCACGAGTGATTTTAGACGCCAAAACTCAAGTCTTTCCAGGTCATTCACGATAGTCCGCGACCCTGCACTTGGGATTCATCTACCTTACTCCAGAGCCTCTTGAGTAATCGTCACTCTGTGTTAATTACATGTATCTGAGGCCATTGTGCGCCGTTTTTATGAAGTCAGTGAGAGAATGAAGTTCCTGAGAGCGGCTTTCTGTACCAATCAAAGTAAGATTGGAGCGATGCCTACGTGTAGATAAGGCAAGAGTTGAATGCTCAAGTTATGTGGCTCTCAGAAACTTACCAAACTTCTTAACACTTGCTGCTTACCAAATTCAAACTGCGGGGGATTGGGGAGTCGGCTCTCGTTTTTGATGGAAGTGCTCGTCCATTATGACGCGACTGCCACCACTCCTGGATTGAGATTCAAAAGCTTACTAGTGCTAGATATCAAGGATTGAAGTCGGTTGCCTAGATCAGAAAATAAGTAAATTTGCACTAGGCAACCAAATTGGTCTTCAAAAGTAAAACTTCTGACAACTTGTTGCAGTATCATTGCAGTAATGAGGTAGCATATGTCAAACTAACCGAGTCAGGTTTCCAAAACCCAATCTTGATGTCACTCCCGAACCCAACTTCCGAACGGGAAGACGCAGGGGATTGCTGTTCGTCCTAACACATACGCGTTCTAGAAAGGTTTTGCGCTGCCTCACTCAGTCTTCAAAGAAAAGCGTGGGGTCTCATCCCATGATCCCCAAAGTTTCATCTTCCCTGCCAGCGAAACCACATCCATTGACTTCACTACTCCTCAACACCCCACACGACTAACTCCAGCCCCAATATACCCCGCATGGAGCTAGGCATTTGGAAAGATAAGCGACTCCTGGTCGGGGATTGCCCTGTCTATAAGTCCCGACTACAACAACCGTTCCGCCAAGATGGCTGCGCGGGCCAACCGGTCAACTCTGCGGGGTGCTGCTAAGCTGAACTCTGTCCGAGGTGTGTTCGGCATCAGGTTTTGGGAGGGTAGGGAATGCGGCAGATGTCAATCCCCATACTTGCGGGCGTTGATTTCCCGCAGGCGCTTTTCGGAGTGTGCTTAAATACCGAGTCCGTCTAATATCTCGACAATTGAGGACACCATTCAGTTTCTCACCAATTTATTATTCTCAACCACCAAAGACGATGGCTACTATTCAACAAACACCTATGCTGGGGGTGACCCCAGGCATGACTCAAGGTCTAAAGTCTTCGACCGAGCATGTTGAGCATGTCGAGCGCGTGGAAGATAAAGCTTCTTTGATCCAAAAGACAAGTTTGCTTGGGTTGAAAAATATTGAGACAGAAGCATATGTGGTGGACAAGTTGAACGCTGACTTTGAGCTGGTTCCTATCATTCTTGATGAGATTCGACCAAATGAGGTTCTTGTTGAGATGAAGTACAGTGGAGTGTGTATGTCAAATTCAACGATAACCTGGGAACATCTCATGCATCAGTCATTGACAGTATCACAGGCCATACCGATATAGTAACACAACAGGGAGGTCTTCCCTTCGTTGAGTTTCCTGCCATTTTCGGTCACGAAGGAGCTGGTGTAGTCCGCGACATTGGAAGAGACGTCAAGATCAAAGACCTAGCAATTGGTGACGCAGTTCTCCTCTCATTCAATCATTGTGGATCATGCAAGACCTGTACGAGCGGTCATTCTGCACTCTGCCCAGAATCGTCAATGATCAACATCAATTCTGTACGGGTAAGCGACCGCAGCACACCAGCTCGGCTGGCTTCCGATGGCCGTGCTGTCCGGAGTCAATTCTTCGGGCAGTCCTCATTCTGCAAAATGTCTGTTGTCAACGAGAAATCAGTGGTCCGGTGCCCACCGTCGGCGGTCGAGCACATGGGTGTCTATGCCCCACTCGGATGCGGACTCCAGACCGGCGCCGGAACGGTCATGAACGTCGTCAAGCCGGGCAAAGAAGACTCCATTATCATTTTCGGACTCGGAAGTGTGGGTCTTGCGGCGTTGATGGCGGCACGCTACCTCGAAACCGGGCAGATTATTGCCGTCGATATTGTTCCCGAACGCCTCGTGCTTGCAAAGGAGCTTGGAGCCACACACACAATCAACTCGAGGGAATGCAGCGATGTAGTCCAGGAGATCAAGAAAATCAGCAACGGGGGTCCAACATTCGCTGTAGAATGCACTGGAATCTTGAAGGTCATTGAAGACATGATTGCTTGCATCGGTCCCCTGGGTACAGCTGTCCAAGTTGGGGTACCGCCCCCAGGAGCCACAATCAAGCTCGACCCGCAAGAGTTCCTGATTGGGAACAAGAAATATGTTGGCATAATTGAGGGAGACGCGGTTCCTGCAGAGTTCATTCCCAGATTGATCTCCATGCACCAAGAAGGCAGATTCCCCATCGACAAGTTAGCTGGGTTTTACCCAGCATCACAGTTGAACCATGCCATACAAGAAATGGCTGCCGGAAAAGTAAGTTGTCATAGCTTCCGTCCAATTTCTTCGTCTTCTTCGAAAGCTAACCAAGTTTAAAAAGGTCATCAAGCCAGTGATTCAATGGATTTAGCCCAGCATCCCGTGGCCAGGTAGACAAAGCGATGGGCCTGGCTGGACAGAGGCCTCGAACAAATGATCGTCAGCGGGGTACATATTTTTGGTATAGAGATACATCTGTCGACTCGTTCTAGATCTGATTTCACGGCATACTTCCGCGTGGTCCCGCGGTCAGCAAGCTATTATGAAAGCGGTAGGCTGGCTGGCTTGTCGATCCTATCTCCACTGATTCAAGTCTTGGTTCGAAGCACGCCAAGGCAGTTGTTGATCATTCTTCGAGAGACTGGTCACGCCTAAGAAATAAAAATGTGTGTTTAAACCAAGCGTCATCTGCAACTCAATTCGGCCCCAATTGCCTGGAAAAGAGATCGCGCCGTGTCTCATCAAATCGTTCAACGCCACCAAAAGCCTCCTAGTACTACAAGAATGCGTCTCACTTCAGCCCTGCCACCGGAAGATTAGACCACACTGCAAACGGCTTTCACCCGCATGTATCACCGCATTGCCCAAGCCCATGTAAGATGACTGTCTCACTTGGCCTCTTAGAGCAGCTATCGCTCGAGTGAGCCATGTACACTGCGGCGGGATCGGTCCGGTCCCGCACTGGAGAAGCCGTTTCTCGACTGCCGGGAGTTAGTGTGCTGGTTTCCACAGGAACTTGCTGTTCCTCTCTCATTGCGTCTAGCTGCAAAAAAAATCTCGGAAACCTATCGCGTGCCTCTATGGACGTTGGCAGAGTCACAGGATTTGTTGGTAGGCAATAAGCAAAGCAGTCAAATTAACCAGCTAATCACATGCTTCCCCCAAGCTATCTCTATGATGATACCGATGCCCACCATTACTTAGTAGTGATCAATTTTGAAGGCGCCGAGTGAACTGTCAGCGGCAGTGGCCGACTGGGTCCCTCGTCGTCTGAACCCCAGAAGTTCAACTTGGCAATGGCCAGGTTTGTCTTCTCCTTCATATCATCACCATACACCCACAAATGCTTCATCTTCCTCGTAGAGTTCTTGAGGTGTTCTACCGCCTTATTCTGAAGGATAGGGGCCGTCTGTAATGGAGAAACCCAACCTGTTTCGTCTGTCGGATCATGATGCAGACAAGCTGCCAGCACTATCGATTTGAGTGAGTCTCGGCTGCTGAAGTCTCCTGCCAGACTTTCCCATCTCTGGGCAGCAAGATCCTCGGCCTTGATGGATGATGTGGGACTGCGCGCGGCCACCCAAACTGGCAACTGGCATTCCAAACCCCATCGGTCTTCCTCAGAATCCACGTCCCACCCACGAAAGATGACAGCCTTTCCGCGAACATCGCGAAGAAGAGGCCATTGTTTGCCTGTGTACAAGAGATTTTCTTTCTTCATATCCCTCTTGAAGTCTCTGTTGAAGTTCTTCGGCAGATCGTCGTAATTGATGCTGTAACCCTCGGACCAATGCTTGTCGGCGTCATACGTTGCGGAGGCGGATGAGAAACTGAGCATGATCATGACGGTTTCATTCTTATTGTCTTTCAAGAAGTCCCTGACATCATCAAGTACGTCTTCGAGCTGCTTTTCAAGGACCAGAGGGCCGTGCCGTAGTCTGCGTTCTCCGTCACATCGTAGGTCGAGCAGCCGAACGCCGTTTTGAAGTTGAGTGCGAATACTGTCTTTGTGGCACTTGTGCATGCCGAGTAACTGTAACCTCAGCTTCTTATCGCTGATTTCTGGCTCGACGTCGATGTTCGCGACATCGTTGATCCAATAGGTTGAGGCACTGCTACAACGAGTTCCCGGTAAGCTCAAATCCTTTACACACATGTCGTCGGGGAGGTGCTTCATCCAAGATTTGGCACAGAAATCGGTTCTGTCAGCATGTTAGATTGGGAAATGTCATGCCTTGACTCATGACTACTATGCTCACTTGGGCTGCATGACACATTGCCGCTTCTCAAAGTCAAAATTGGCTGTCGAGCCAACGTAATCCCGATAACTATGAATGGTCAGCTAGTGCCGGAGTTCGTGACTCGGGCAAAGTGAACTCTGGAACTCACTCGGTTGCTTTCATGTACTTGTTGCGGTATCGAAAGGCCCCCTCAATGACAATGTAGTACTCGAAATGGCGCGTGTCTGTAGTAAGGCCCAAAAGATTACTGAATTGAATAAGTTCAACTCCCTTGCGAACCCATCGCGTTCCGGGCAGAAGCTTGAGTGATCCTCCAGCAGAAGCCCAGATTACGACATGATATTCAGGGTACTGCGCCTGCAGAACCTGCAGTCTGTTCTGAACAGGGTTTTTGGCGCTTGTCGGAAGTCCCACTGCCATGGTTGGATTGTTGATTTGTTGCGAATTGAAGATCAACGGAAATGCTTTCGCAACTGAAAAATGAATCATGCCTTGAGCCCCGAGACAGAATTATATAGATGCTCACGGCATTTCCCCCTGCACTGCTTCAGATGCGTGTTTTTCATGTCAGACTAGCCTGGCTGATAGGTGACAAAAGTCCGGGGTAAGACAACCTGCATTCGTCCAGTTAGGCTGAATACGCCAAGAAACCAACCCATCTCTCGCACCATGCGGCTGAGCCGTAGTGAGACAAACGAAAGCCATAATTCTATCCAGGCCGTTTCCGGTGTGAGTTACTCGTGGTTCCGGCAGGTACGCACGCGACCATAGAAACGATGGTGAGTACCCAATGCTGGAGCCTGGAGCGTGGACGTACTTGACTAGAACGATGACTACGCCCCTGATACAAAATAGAGACTACGACGTTATCATGGACCTGAAGCTCTATCATATGGACCAGCCGCCTCCTTTCAACTTCTGCACCACACTTACTTGTCATGGAAAGTGCTTACAACAGCCCCCCGTCGACACCCGGCGCCAATACTTTCAACGGTGCTACAAAAAGCCCGGGTGACTCGGACACGATTTTGACATTTCAACGCATAGACAAAGCAACACCTACGTCATCTTCTGGGGCGAAGGCTAATGCCACGTCTTTTCCAGTGACGGGAAGTCCTGCGGGAACCATCGGGTTCGCCGTGCTATTGAAGAAATGCGGCTTCAACGCCAACGCCAACGTTGGGATGCACGGTATCACCATGGCTAAGATCAAAGAGGGGATGATTGCAATTGGTCTGGCCAAGGAGTTTGACATATGGAGTTCTCCGTCATCTATGCTCCTCGACTATGACCTTACTCTTTTGGAATACGTGGGGCAGGTATCGAAGCTTACGAAAAGTCCCCAGTCGGATGTGAGAATTTACTACGGTCTGAAGAAGGATCACAACGCGCAGACAGTACAGGACATCTACAAGACTGGAGATTTCATCATCAGGATCGTCCAAATCAAGAATGATAAGTCGCAGGCGATTCAGGCTCTCAGAGTGATGAAGTCGCCTCCAGAAGATGCACGTGCAGGCGGCCACATCATTGATATCCAGGACCTAGGCTCTCGGACACTCTGGGACTTGAGAGACGGAATTAGCGCAATGCAAGTCTACCATGTTCTTGACTCACTCTGTATTTCCACTTCTAACACCACAACATGAAGGTCGCAACTAAAAGATAAACATCATTTTTGCCTGCCGGATGAAACCCCTCTTTCGGATAAAACCAGATTCGACGACTACATCAAGATGCTTGTAAGTTTGAGCCCTTTCAATTTCACCATTTGAACACCCAGACTGAACCAACAAATCAAGGATGAGACATGTCCATATGAGAGTAGCGTCCCATCGATCAACCTCAGGTTTAAAGACGCTTCATCTTGTTTCGATGAAGATCAGCCAAAGACAGTTTTGACAGCTTTGGGTAGCAATAAAGCAGTTCAAAAGGCTGAGGTACGAAACCATGGATCTGGATCTTGACTGATTGACTGACACAGTTTCGCCACAGACCTCCAGGTTAGAGTGATCCGTTTAAACACATTTTACGTCAACTTTGATTCACGATTGATACCTAACCGTCAAGTCCAGTATCTCACCGTCATCACTTGATGAGTTGCAGTGGGAACTCGTCATGAAGAACTGCCAAGTCATGCACGGCTGGTATATTGATCCGGTCAGCACTGAGATCAAAATGGCACCAAAACCGGGTTCGTTGTTGATATTTGACAATACGAGCTTCTACTGATATTCGTATAGCATTCCGTCTCAAGTCAGGATTGAATCTTGACTACAGCCCAGATAGCACAGTCTCCACTGCAGAGGTTGAGATCGCCATTCCCAATTACGGGGTCACGGACGGTTCAAAAATTGATGTCGTCACTACTGAGAGCGGAATCAAGCACTCTCTTGTTCGCAATAGCTTTGACAAGGCTTCTATGGATAATAAAATCGCCCTCGGTTACTCAGGAATCGGTATCAACGTGGCTAGCGGAAAGTCCTTCGACTCCCAAGGTGAGCAGTCGTCAGGGAGCAACAGGTCCATCAAGAGCATGATCGGTATATACAAGGTAGGCAACGCGCTACCAGAACTAAGTTACTTGGCTTCACATCGCTTATAACCGCCTAGCTTCCCCGAGCTACTTTGTTTCTTAACGCGGATGATCTCGTTCCGACCAAAGCATTCACAGATGGCATTGAAAAGATCAAGGAGCTAGGTGAGGGAGCGGACGAGACAGACGTTCGCAAATTTTACGAAAGATTTGGTACGTGATGGCCCCATGATACAGCTTCCTTCTCATACAAGACGAAATTGTTGAAACCTTATAGGACAATTTTTCTGCCACGAGGTCATTCTCGGGGGAATGTTGCTTTCGACAAAAGCTCTGGTTGGCAACGAATCCCAGGACGAAGAAAAAAGCCGGTGTTCCTTTAAGCACGCTATCGGGATGTCTGTCTCCTCTGTATGCATCCTGCCTGAAACGACTTTACGCCTCTATTAAGTACCGTAAAAACTGACGAGTAGTCACAGCCTGTGGAAGTCATCATTGGGGCGGAGTCAAAGAAAGAAATCGCATCAAGTGCCGATCAGAGCATTGTTCGCAGCTATAAAGATAGCGACGACAGTGTGGTATTCGAAGCAGTTGGTGGAAATACCATCTTGGCTTCCAAGTACGAGCCCTTGGCTCCAAAACTCCGTGTGTGATCTGACGTTATCACAGCCCACAACAATGGTGCGCAACAGTTGGAGATTACAACAATTGGAGAGTTATCGGGGTAAGAATACTACATGCAGTTAAGTTGATGGTGATTTAATTACTGCCTAACGTTTTGATAGAGACAAGAGATGAAGTTGATCCTCGACTCATTCGAAGATAGTGGAGATAATAAGCTCCAAGATGTCGTCGACTTGTTCACTAAAGCATCTCAACTTACTGTCTCGAAGTTCATTGACATTCCAAAGTCAGCAAAAATCATTGCGCAATTTCGATTCAAGACGAAGAGTACGAATGCGGACAAAACACACTACCTTCGTCATGACATCTACAAACTCATTGACTTTGGACCTCGATCTGCGAGCGAGCAGAGAATTATGCCACAGAAGTAAGTTGCCATCCCGGACCATGCATGTAATTTAGGAACATAAACTCACTTAAGTTATATCGCAAGATTTCAGGGGCCGCGAGTCGAACCATACGACCCTTCATGGAAAGATCAAGATGGTCTTTGGACCATAGCTCCAGTGGTGGGAGCTGGGCTATGTTGCCATGTGAGTCAAGGGCGATCGCAATTAGTCGATGGCTCTAGGGTCACTATCCGCTCGGGGCGTGATTCGCAAACCGCCTGGTATCTCTCCGTCCTCAGAACTTCGGCGGGAATCTTCGTTCCCTGTATCACGACCTCGAAACACTTTGTATGGAGAGTCCGAGAAGTTCTGCGGCCCAACACCAAGAGCACCATTGCTCAAGAGCCGTCACCCGACAAACCGCTCAGACACGATGCGGTTCTATGCTTGACTTATGACTTTGAGGACAACCCCCGAGGCTACCGAGACTTCAAAGACGATGATCGCGGCTTCCGGAATGTAGAGTATCCGGACAAAGACACCACCCAGTTGGTGCTCGTTGAATCACGTAACAGAACGGATATATGGCCGGATCGCAGAGTTCTTCTTCTTGCCGACGGGGAACCCTTTTTTACAGAATCTACTGCCAAAGTCGCGGACTTGAATGATTCCGAGATCTCTGTGAAAATTGCAAAGTTCAACATTGACGTCCGTGGTAAGTTGCCTTTTATTTTGTTGCTTCTAATCACTTGGGAGATTTGGATGGCTGAGTTGCACACACTTACCTGTGCGGCATAGACCAAATGGATGACGACTATGATATCTTGCAAAAAGATGGCGATTTCATCACGGCGAGACACGAGGAGCAGCAGAAGAAGTTGAAGACCAGAGATGAGGGGTCCTCGGGGTAGTCTTCGCCTAAAGTACTAAGGTAGTATGGATCAACTTGAATTCGAGTATGACTTCTTTGGTCCCTCCATCATGCAATAAAAGCACCCAATACCAAAATCACCCAAGCCCTCAAAGTTGCCCCCCGGCCATTTCATATCTTGCCTCTTTGTTCGCATGCTACAATCCGGGCCACTTGAAATAACATCAGCATCAACTCACACTCGCAAGAGAGGCAGAATCAAGAGGCTCAAAAACTCACAAGAAGAACTTGCATGTCGCGCCTTCACCTGGGCGAGCGGACTTGACTTTGCCACCCCAGTTCCAGTTCGGGTACGTCTCCAGGCCATCTCGGAAACAGGCCCACCAGCAGTCACCTTCCCAATCCTTTTCGGTACAGAGATGAACGGAGACGCAAGGTTGTTGCTCCCGCCTTTCTATAGCTGCTTCGAGGGGACCTATATGGGTTCCATCTGTCGGACGTTCGGAGACGTGGGTGGTCGGTGATGGGGGTAGGAGATTATTCCAGTGCTCCTGCTCTAGTTGATAAGCACGCGTAGGATTGATTATAGTCGACATGGAGGCATCAGCTGCAGCGATCATGCAATTGAAGACAATGGCGTAGATGTATGGATTGAGGGCCAACATGGTGTTGATGGTGAATGGCCCAGAAAGGAGTGGCCTAGGATCACTTGGTGCAATGTAGCGGGGAGATCAAGAACTCAAGACGACACTTACCGGCGCCACGACGTAGTTTTATTCTGGTTTTCTGATCATCTAGGGCCTCTACTGCATGGCACATTACATGTTTGGTGTCTTTGATTGTTGACAGGAGCTCTAAAGAAACATCCCTCGATGTTGTAAATGCCCAAAAATGACACAAAGAGATGAAGTGGTCTGGCAGTCCCTTGGAGTCGCACGTGGATTTGAGAACGGCAAACTTCACATCAGGGATGCCTCTGGCTTTGGGAGCATCGCTCCACGAGCTGTAAGGGAGTGCTGGGCGATTTCGAATTCGGACAGCAAGCTCCAATGGGATTTGGGGGCTCACTGGCATCAATGTGCTTGGGAATCAATGCGCAGACATCCCTTTCCGCTACTGTTTTATCTTCGCAGCGATCTGAGTATCATGGCAGACCAAAATTTGAAGCAAGATTTACCTCTGCCTAGATCCTTCAACTCGGCTTCCACACTGCCTCTAAACTGCCATCTCGGGCCGTGTGCGCAAATATCGCGAGGCACTCGGCTTCGAAAGTTGCACTTTCGCATTCCCCCGAAGCTTACTCCTCAAAATAGCTTCATCTGAGACCATTGGTCTTTTCTTTCCCACCAACCCAATCCGATGACCCTCCATCGTGGATCGTTGTCTCAAAGAAAACATCTGGATACGAAGTTTCCCCCAAACCACAGGGCCAAGGTTGAATCTCTTAGGTCATGCCGATGCAAGCTCAGCCAAACCGAAATCGAGCCGTGCCACCACCTCCAAATAAGCCATCAAGCCACCACGATGCAGAGCCCACGATATTCTGATAGGACGCCTCTTTCTCACTTCAACAGCGCTGATTGGTCGTGAGAGTTCCAGCTCCCAGAGCTGAGCCTCCTCCACACGACGCTCGTCATACCCCAACTCCAACAAACAAAGTGGAACGCCTTGCGGAGACTTTTTAAACATCATCGCGTGATGATGAAGGCCTCTGTAGGACTTAAATCCCATTGGGCGATGTTCGTATACCGCTTCTCAAATTAAGCTTACATGGCTACTGGGTTTATGTGGCCTATTGCTATGAGTTGCGGGGTTAAGAGAGAGAATTGCAGGGCTGACGGAGACCTCACCCGAAGGCTGAAATGTGGAAAGCCAAGTCGGGCTGTGTCAGTTTACGAGACGTATCGGTGAGAAAGTTGTGAGGCGCCATCTCGTGAGGACACCCGGTTCAGACCCCTTGACCACCTTATGTGAGATTTCGAAGAGCTGGGGAATGCCACGATACCTCTGCTTTTGCCTGATTCCCATCGGGTGCAGTAAGTCTCGAGATGAAAAGCTGTCTTGAGGGCTTCGTCGTATAGAATGAAGTTATAAATACAAGAAGGGTCATCCGTCTTTCTGGACGCCCATCTACCCTCATCACCACCATCCCCAGCTCACAGAATACCACCATCCTACTAGCTCCAAATATCGTCAAATCCCATCCCACAACCAACACTCAACAACCCTCACCAACCCTCACCAAACCTCCACCAAAATGTTCCCCAAGACCGTCCTCGCCCTCCTCCTCACCGTAACCTCCGCCCTCGCATCCCCCTTAGAAACCCGCCAAGCATCGACCTACTTCACCCCCTCCTCAACCTTCACCTACAACACCAGAACCGGCGCCATCACCCCAACCTACGGCACGGCCGTCGTCTCCAAATCCACCTCCAACGCAGGCAACGACCTCACCGCCCTCCTAACCTTCACCTACCCGCCCGCCGCCGCCGGCAAAAAGTGCCAGTTCTACTTCTACCTCGACGCCGCCACCTCCAGCGTCTCGGGCAGCCGCAAGCTCGACGTCTTCACCTCGCTGAAGCCCGCGCCCGCCGGCGGCTCGCCCGGCTGGGGCGCGGGAGGACCCGGGAACCAGAGGAACGTGAACATCGGGCGGTTGTCTGTCGTTGCGGGCGGGTATGCTACGTGGGATGCCACGTACGGGGCGTACTTGACCGCGCCGACGGATTGCAAGGCGCCTGGTACCGTGGAGGGGCTCGAGCTCGTTGGCGTTAATGACAATGATTATGTTTCGTGGAATACGCAGGTTTCTGGGGCTCGGATTGCTTACTTCTGAGCTGCTTCTTCTTGGAACGAGGGTGAGTGTGGGGGTGACTGGGCAGGAGAGACATGTGTTCAATTCTGCGTCGCTCATTTGACGTTCTTGTACGTTCTCGTTACATGTTGATGTTTGTTGTAGAGAATTTGGCTTAGGCTTGCTTTGTAGAGAAGGGTGTCAGCCATGCTTTACCTTACACTCCCTTATAGCATATCGGATATTTATCACTGAATTATTGCTTCAATGCTCTGTCTGGTTAACAACCTACTTGTCCCCAGGTCGCTCAGCAGTGATTGTTAGCTCTACTATCTACCTAGAGCCCTCCACAGTGATTTATATCATCAATGCAACGGGCTTGAACTTGTCCACTACCACTTCTCTTGTCATAGGTCTGCGCCGTCCAGACACAGAGCATCTTCTTTAGTTCCTTAATCATACCTAAAACTCCTCTCGTCTACCCGCATCATATCCCCCACGCGTTCGCCATGCCCTTGAGAACCTTGCAATCCCCCTTGTGCTTCTTCCAATCCTCCTTCTGGCATTCCTATGTAGTCAATCATCGTCAGCACGTCCGCATCACAACATCACTCCCGCCAGCCAGTCAAAAAGCAGCGAGGGGAAACAGCACGAGAATGAGGTTAAAGTAAAGACTCACCTTGCCACAATACCTCGCAACAACACAAGCAGTACAACTCTTCAACGTCTCACCCTCTCCAGTCCCCTTCCCGCACCCAGCGCACTCCCTCAACCACCGCCCACCATCCTCCCTCGCCCGCGCCCCCAACTCCCCAATCTGCTCCAGCCCGCCAGGGATATACTTCACACCTGTCCCCTTCCCCTCCGGCACCCTAACAAACCCCCTCTTCCCGCCCTTCGGCGCCGTCCTCACCCCGCGCGGCACGACAATCGTCCACCCGCCCTTGACGGGCCGCAAATCGATCCCGCGGTCCTCAAACGTGACGGCGAACTCTGTCTGCTGCCGATCGACGACCACGAGCGTCGGTTTCGTGATGGTCATGTTTTGTTTTACCTGCGCTATGAGGAACCATTCTTCGCGGGCGTCGTGGGAGGATGGTCTCGTGACTGCCGTGGAGGAGGATGAGGAAGCGGAGGCTTTGGCGGTGCCGGAGCCGGATTGGGAGTCCGTGTAGGATGGCGGGTCGGAGGGGGCCGGCGCATACGAGGGCGGCTCCGAGGATGCGGCGTAGGAGGGTGGATCGGCGGCGCCGGGTTCCTCGATGGGGAGGCCCTCAAAGATTGGGAAGATTGCCTCGTTGGCAAAGTCCGGGATCGGCATGCTTACTGAACTCCCGGTTGTTTTTCGGTGGCAGGGATTATGACTGGTCAAGCGAGACTCGTAATAGATGGAGGAAAGAGGATGCCCAATCAATCTGAGAAGAAAAGACTGGAATGAGCTAAATTGAGAAACGTTGTTGACAATAGTCCTATGGGTTTCACTGAGAGGTTGGATGAGAGAGAGTGTGAGTGAACGATTGATTGGTGGGGGTGTGAGATTGATTGACCTGAGAGAGGGATCGTCCATGAGTCTCTCCGGCCCTGTGATTGGCCAAGTCCACCACAGCGGAGAAACTTCAAACACCAAAGACTGCCAAATAGAAAATTGACGAACCGGAGAAACATCGGCCAGAATTATCAAGGGGACTTGGCATTGTTCCCAAAATTCCTTCTCGAACGTCTAGGCGACCGTTATGCCATGGCTCACAGTCACCTTTGCTGAAACGGCTGCCGCTGCAGGATAGGACGACAGCTTTCGAGATGACGTAGACTGTAACGTCTGGTCAGAGGGGCAGAACAACTGTCCGATATGCTCAGCCGTGCGAAGCAGCAGTGCGCCAGCACCCAAAGTTTGCGTGTGCGGATGACAGGTCCAGCGCCTGAGCCCAGCGAGTGCCCCAACCTCGGACGAGATGGCGTCATGGCGCTGGTGGACTTCTATGCGGTCAGTTTCAGCATGTGCCCAAGACGGCTGGCCTGCTCTGGGCAAGAGAAAATAGATACAGCATGCGCAATATTCAATTATGGTTCATTTTGACAAGAGTGTCTATTCTAGAAACCTATGTGTGTCGTAGTATAGCTACATTATAGACTATAGTGACCCCTCACTATCGTGAGCTATCCAGTGCCCATTACTACCGCAGGGGAGTGTGAAGAATGGAACCAAATCCAACAACCGCATTGCCCAATATTCGTTTTGGGACAAA